CACGACGCCGACCAGAGAGCACGACGCCGACTTGTCGCCTACCCCCTTGCCGCCAGCAGAGGAGTCGGCGTCCTTCGCCGAGGTCGACGACTTGGTCGACTGCTTCTCCTTGCGCGGCTGACTTCCTCCTCGACGAGGTCGACGACTGCCAGACCTCCCGCGGCCTCCCTTGTCGTCGTCGTCCGAGTCACTGCGGTCAGGGCACTCGAAGGAGAGGTGGTCGGGGTCGCCGCACAGCCAGCACTCCCGACGTCGACTTCCTCCTCCTCGGCCGTTGTCCTTGGTCGACTTCTTCTTGTCGACTTCCTTGGCCGACTTCGAGCCACCGCTACCACCGCCGCCAGACTGTCCACGCTGCCCCGGTCGACCGCCTTGCTTCGCCGGGGCGACGTAGTTCACCTGCGCCAAGAGCTCCTGGGACCGCTCAGCCTCCTGCATTGCCTCGTCCTGCAGGATGTACGAGGTCAAGTTGTCCTCGTTGAGCGTCGCCCTCGTGCTCGGCGCCATGGACAGCCGCTTCAGCAGGTTGTAGCTGCTCCGGAGTCCCTGCATGACGTGCGTGACGTACGACGCCGTTGAGTACTGCGCGCCGACCATCGTGATGGTGGCGAGAATTCGCCGGGCCCGGTTGCAGTAGTCGGTAGCCGTCTCCTCGTCGCCCACGCGCAAATGCGTCAGCTGCCCCTCCCCGTCGTCGGTGACCTGGTACGTTGACTCGATGAAGTGACACGCCTGGTGGCTGGCGTCGAGGTACTCCCGGCACCACTTCAAGGCAATCTGCACGCCCGGCGAGCAGCACCGCGAAATGACCGTGAAGGTCAACAGCTGCACGGCGCGGAACTCAGCTCGCAAGTCTGGGTCGGCCGGTCTCGCTACGGTACCACGAGCAAAGTTGATCAGCCCGGCCATCTCCAGCTGAGGCTCGATGGCCTCCTTCCAGGTGAGTATGTCGGGTCGACCGACCAGCGGGGGAGTCACCAAGATTCTATCCGGCGTAAACTTGAAGTAGCCGTAGCTCGGTGCAATCACGCCCGCCGTCACCTGGGTCGCCGACATCGGCAAAGATCCACTTCGCCGACCTCAGACGTCGCCTTGCGAGGAGCCTGCAGCCACCGACGACCGCACCCCTCGCGCTGGAACGCCACCGACTTCGTCGGCGTGAATCACACCACGCTGCCTCGACGACGTGCCTCCTGCACTGCTGCCGACTTGGTCACCAGTGGCGTTGACGCCCAAGTCGACGCCGCCCTCGGTGTTTACCGGTCGAGGAGAAGCAGGTCGAGAAGGGTACTCCGTCGGATGCCAGCCTCGACGACCGCCCAAGGCAGGTCGCCATACTCGTTGGCCTCGTGCTTCCCCCTCGTGTTTTCAAGCCGTGCCTCCAGGGTGTCCACCACCCCCGCGTCACCTACGGCTCCTACCATGGTGACTACCACACAGCTGCCGGCCTACGAACAACTTAGGTAAGGTGCAACTAAGTCGACTAGACTGAAAGGTAAGTCGTTGTGCCGTCCACGCTCACCGCACCATGCGGAGATAACTACTACAACGGGAGCTAGACCACGGGCTAGGCACGGGTGCTCGTGTGATCTCTGCATTCGTTGGTCCTTAGTCGTTTTCCTAGTGCATACACTGCTTGCTAGTCCACAAGGCAATTTGGCAAGAGTTTCACTAGAGAAAGTTGACAACAATGGTACAAAGAAGTTGGCAAGGCAAGACTACATCAGATCTAGCATGCAAGCAGGACGACTGCCAGCGCAGCACGGTCGACCGCGTGCCAGCACGACTTGGTCGACCGTGCTCCAGCAGCGCAGAGTCGCGGCTTGCCAACACTGCAGGTCGACGGCGTGCCAACGTCGCAGGTTGACGGCGCGCCAACGTTGCTCCCGCAGGACAGCAGTGCACCTACTTCGCAGGTGCTCGCAGATGATTGGCGTGCAGTGCCTTGTCACCTGCACAACGCACACACCACATCAACTTCGTGCTGACGACTGCTTCTGATGCACCACGTCGACCTCGGGATACCATCACCGAGGTCGTCCTCGCCAAAACCACCTGGGCGACCATCGCAAGCCTTCGCAGCACCTCGTCACCCAGGTAACCTGGTCGACCGGGCAACCAGGTCGACCAGAGGCTCCAGTGCGTGCCCGTCGACCACCCAGGTCGACGACCACTTCCGGTCGACCTCCCCAGGTCGACCACTATCCCCTGGTTGACCAGCTGCAAGTCGACGTCACTCCTGGTCAACCAGAAGGCCTGATCGACCAACCAGGTCGACCAGAAGGTCTGGTCGACTTACCAGGTCGACCAGAAGGGCTGGTCGACGTCCCAGGTCGACCACCTGAAGTTGGCGCCCTCCCGAAGTCGGCGCCCATGCAGTGGCTCCCCGTGCAGGTCGACCAACCTCGTCGACCAACTCGCCCACTACTGCAGGTCGGCTGCACCCTACACCCGACCACGAAGTCGGCTCCGCCCAAGCGAGGACGGGGCCAACATACAACTCCCGTTGACACTGCTGTGGGTTTTGGAGGATAAGAGAAGCTGCATCAACAACCTATGGCAGTTGCCCATCATCGCTTCGAATGGAAAACCACCTAAAACGGCAGTGGCAGCAGCAACGGCTAAAGCAACTGCGGGAGGAGAGGAGACTGCACCAACTGATGGGGCCCTGGATGCAGTCAAGAAGGTGTAGCAACCACAACAACCACATGGTGAAGTGCTTGCTGGTAAGGATGCGACAGCTGCGTGGGTAGGATTCATCTTGTAGTGGTGAGGCCGACTGGGAGACGTGGCACAACAGGTTGTGTCACATCAACGTTCCTATGCTGCAAAAGTTGGTGAAGGATGGGCTACTATTCTAGGTGCTTGTGAGTCTTCTAGCACAGGTGCATCTCCGGCACAGGCTTTGCTCATCAGCCTTCTTGCTGCTTCTTCCGCGACTGCACCACAGACCCACCACTCACCACACCTGTCCCTGTCACTTTGGCCAACCCCTCCTCTGGCCTAGTCACTACACGAGGTACCACTGTTCTCCTGTGTCCGGCAGTCCCCTCTGGTTCCCTCCTCTGGCACTTCCCCTTGTTCACTACAAACTTGGTGAGTAACTCTGTCCTCCAGGACCACTTGGTCACTACCACCACTCCTGGGATCGAGTTTGTGGCGATCTGTATGGACTCAGTGATTGGCGAACACCTAGCCAAGTTTGCGCAGAGGCCTGGGTCTGACATGTACACATTGCACGTTGAGTCTGTACATTTCGCTGGGTCCGGTCAGATAGTTGCTTCGTGCTTGTGTCGATTGCTAACGCACCCTTCCCTCCTCTGGCATCACCATCTTGGTCACCCCTCCCTATAGCGTCTACATCGCATGCACTCGTGTCTCCTTGTCTCAAGCCTTCTGAGGTCCCTCCTCTGCTCCCTCCGTCGCTTGCACCGCCGTACACCCCTTCCTTCGAGGGGGCAGCACGCTGCTCCTCACTCCCCCTCTTTCCCTTTTACAGAGGTTCCTCTGCAGACCCTGGACATGGATGTGTGGGGCCTTGCTCCCATCCCTCGGCCTGGCCAAGAGCGCTACCTCCTGCTCGTCGTTGACGACTACACACGCTACACCATGGTATTTCCTTTGCGGAGCAAGGGCGACGTTCGTAGTATTCTGATCCATCAAAACTGCACAGTTTGTCGTCAGCTGAGCGTGCGGTTTCACCATGACCTCTCGGCGTCTGCACTCTGACCGTGGAGTTGAGTTTTCCTCCGGTCTCCTTGAGGCGTTTTGTTGTGAGGAGGGCATCACCCAGTCGTTCACGCTTCCGGCTTCTCCACAGCAAAACGGGATCACTGAGCGCTGTAATGGCATGGTCATATTGGTTGCTTGCACCTTCATGATCCATGCGGCTTCTCCCCATTTCCTATGGCCGTTTGCAGTCCGATATGCCGTGCATCAGCTCAACCTTTGGCCCCGTGTCTCTGAGCCAAAGACCTCACCTATGTGAGGAAGGTTGCCCAGGGAAGGTTGCCGATGCGTCAGCGGTTCGGGTCTGGGGTTCGTTTACCCATGTCCGCGATTGCACTGCGGACAAGCTGTCTTCTCGCACCGCTTGCTGCGTCTTCCTTGGCTTTCCCACTGATGCGCCTAACTAGCAGTTCTACCTCCCAGCCACGCGTCGTGTCCTGTCCTCCCAGGACGCCACCTTTGACGAGTTGGTTTGCTACTACCGTCTTCTCCCTCACGTATCTTCTCCCCCTACCTCCCCTCTTCATGGTTCCAGGTTACCCCCTCGGTAGACCCCCACCTCCCATCGCATCCCACTCCCTCAGGTGTCCTCAGGTCGCACCACCCCCCTTGGTTCAGCCTTTGGAGGTCTCCTCTAACCCTGCTACTGACGACACTGCGGCCTCTCATCGCTCCCCGCACTTGAAGACCCCTCCTGGCTTTCCGCCTCAGCCGCCTTCGCCGCCTCCGATCCCTGTCGCTATGGACTCCAATGATGTTGGAGGTGGTGGCGCTAGAGGTGTAGGTTTCGAGGGTGCTGACGCTGGAGGTGCTTGTTCTCGAGGTGCTGAGCCTGGGGGTGCTGAGCCTGGAGGCGCTGCACCAGCTGGTGGGCAATGGCTGCCATCGCACCAGCAGTGTGAGGATCTAGGATCGAGCTCAGAAAAGAGAGTTTGAATTGAATGATCACCTGGGTACAACACGAGGCTATACATAGGCTCGACACAAGGGGCAGTAACCAGGTGTTACGCGAAGGTTCTGCGGGTCGCGAAGCGTCCCGAACAGACCCTTCCCGAATTCGGTAGAAAGCATTTCGGTGGCAACCGAATAGCCCCGAATTCGGTGTAACCTAGCACGGTGCTTATAACTATAATAAAATATAGGAAAGCACCTAGCCTAGGAATCAAGCAATTCATGCATGCATAAAATAATCCTAAGCTGGAAGTAGCACAAGGAGATAAAAGCAAGCATGAATAACAAGCATAAGCCGTCGTACTCTCACACGTCCCCCCTCAAAGCTGGGTGGCGTGAGATACACCATGCTTGACAAGATAGGCCTTGAGAGCACGGCGTGCGTTGCCCATAGCAAATTCTGCAACCCAACTGTCCTCAGTAGGGTCGTATCCCTTCCAGCGTATCAGGAACTCGAGGGTCTTGCCGCCGCGGCGCCGATGAGTGAGAACGCGCTCGATCTCGTACTCTGGTTCATCCTGCACAAGAACAGGTGGTGGTGGCGGTAGCTGCCGTCCCTGGAACTGTTGGTTGGGGTCCTTGTAGGGCTTCAGTAGCTGAACATGGAAAGCATTGTGAAGCTTCCACGTATCTGGTAAGCGCAAGCGGAATGTAACTGGTGTCACCTGTGCCTCCACGAGAAAAGGACCACAGAAGCGAGGCCGGAGCTTGGATGGTAGGTGAGACAGGTTCAAGTTGCGCGTGTCGAGAAGCACCTGATCTCCGACTGAACTGAGTGATCTCGTCGCTGGCGATCGGCATACTGCTTCTGGGAGTTCTGCATCGTGGTGAGACGCCGCTGAGTCTTCTCCCATAGCTGCTGCATGGTGGTGACGAAGTCGTGTGTGGCTTGGACGTGTGCCGGTGTGGTTGGCTGCTGTGGTGTGAGTGGTTCCCGTCCGTAACACAGGAAAAAATGTGTTTTCCATGTGGCCGCATGCGAGGCGTTGTTGTAAGCGAACTCTAAGGTCGGTAACTGTGTGTCCCAGTGGCTGATGTCGTCCTTGCAAGCTGTGCGCAGTAACTGTTCAACCATCTGATTGAGTCGCTAGGTTTGTCCGCCAGTCTGGGGATGGTATGCTGAAGACATCGCAAGCTTAGTCCCCAACAATCCCATAAGCTCCTTCCAGAACTTACTCGTGAATTTTGGGTCTCTGTCTGAGATGAGTGTAGCGGGGATGCCGTGGATGGTGATGATGCGGTCGAAGAAGAGTCGAGCAGTTGCTTCAGCTGTAGCTGTGGCGTTGGTCGGTATAAAGTGACCCATTTTGGAGAACTTATCGATGACTACGAGGATGGAATCGTGTCCCCGTGAGGTCGAGGGAAGTCCTGTGACGATGTCGAGACTAACGACCCGCCATAGCTGCTCCGGTACGGGTAGAGGCTGAAGTAACCCTGCTTTCTTCTGCTTGCTACTCTTCATCCGCTGGCACGTGTCGCAGGAGGTGACAAACTGCTGCACGTCTGCTGCCATCCGGGGCCAGTAGTAATACTTCGCTATTCCTGCTAACGTCTTGTTGCTCCCAAAATGTCCCGCGTATGGTACGTCGTGAAACTCCTCTAACAGGATCTGCCGTAGCGGGGCGTAATTCGGTACCCAAATCTTTCCTGAACCCTTCCTTACCGCTAAGTCTTTCTCCCATTGTAACAGCTTCTGTTTCTCTGCCGTTGCGATCTCGCCATCTACGGAGTTTCCATGTTGGAATAGACACTTGAAGAGAGGGTTCATCACGTCGAGTTGGATGCCTGCTACGTGACCTGGGCGGCTCAACGCGTCTGCCTTGTTGTGTAGCCCGGGTTTGTAGACGATGTCGTAGTGGAAGTGGGTCTCCAAGAAATCCACCCACCGCACCTGTCGTCGTGAAAGCGTCGGCTGCGACTTCAGGTATTTGAGGCTGCAGTGGTCAGTGTAAACTGTGGTCTTGGCTACCTCCAGGTAACACCTCCACGCCTTGAAGGCTACGACTATGGCTAAGGCTTCCTTGTCGTGGATGGGGTAGTTCAGTTCTGCTCCGTGTAACTTCTTACTGAGGTAGGCGATAGGCTGTAAACCGTTCCCGTGATCCTGCATCAGTACTGCTCCGACTGCCTGGTCACTAGCGTCTGCTTCAACTACGTAGTCTTTTTTGGGGTCCGGTAGGATGAGTACTGGTGCTGTGGTCAGTGCTGTCTGTAGCTGTTCCATGGCTTGCTGATGAGGAGCACCCTGTTTGAAGGGCGTGTCTTTTTTCAGTAGGTCTTTCAGTGGTGCTGCTATCTTAGCGTACTGCGGCACAAACCTGTTGTAGTAGTTGGCGAAGCCGAGGAACTGCTGCAACTCCTTCACGTTCTCTGGGAATTTCCACTTTTTAACAGATTCGATTTTCCGCGCGTCCACGTATACGCCCTCGCCACTCACCATGTGGCCGAGAAACTGTACCTTCTTCAGGGAGAAGTCGCTCTTCGACAGCTTTACGTAGAACTTATTCCTCCGCAGGATCTCGAACACCTTCCGCAGATGCTCCACGTGCTCCTTCATGTTCTTGGAGTAGATGAGGATATCGTCCAGGTACACTACTACGCATTCGTCCAGCAGGGGTCGAAGGATGTGGTTCATCTCCGCCTGGAACGTTGCTGGTGCGTTGCAGAGTCCGAACGGCATCACCAAGTATTCGTAGGAGCCGTATCGCGTACGGAACGCCGTTTTGTGGATCGAGTTGTCCGCCATCTTGATCTGCCAGTAACCCGACCGTAGGTCCAGCTTCGAGAAGACTGTTGCACCACGCAGTTGGTCCAGTAAGTCGTCGATGCGTGGTATGAAGTATTTGATTTAATCTGTCTGTTTATTCAATGCGCGGTAGTCGATGCACATCCGTAGACTGCCGTCTGGTTTCGGTGTAAAGAGAACTGGTGCGCCGTAGGAAGAGGTGGATGGTCGGATCAGTTTGTTAAACTGTATTATGCTTGTAGGCTGTAGTGGGGTAGCCAATATGGGGTACAACCCCAACTAGGGTTTGTTATTTGTACCCAAACTTCTCCTAGTTCAATCATTCTTGCCTAGCTATTCTGACATGGTATTCAGAGCAGGAGGTCCCTAGGACCTACCGACCGTTTTTTTTTAGGGCCCACCACCGCTCGCATGCGGTTACCACGCTACCCCGTGCCCTAGCCTCGTAGCGCCCTCGTGCGCCCACGTTAGCGCCCTCGCGCGCCCCTCGTTAGCGCCCTCGCGCGCACCCTCGTTAGCGCCCTCGCGCGCCCCTTCGTTAGCGCCCTCGCGCGCCCCTTCGTTAGCGCCCTCGCGCGCCCCTTGCTAGCGCCCTCGCGCGCCCCTCACTAGCGCCCTCGCGCGCCCCTCACCGAGCCGCCCGCTCGCAGCCCGCCCGCCCGCTCGCTGCCCGCTTCGCGGCCCGCTCACTACGCAGCCCGCCCGCCCGCTCGCTGCCCGCTTCGCGGCCCGCTCGCTCGCTGCCCGCTTCGCGGCCCGCTCGCTACGCAGCCCGCCCGCTCGCTGCCCGCTTCGCGGCCCGCTCACTACGCAGCCCGCCCGCCCGCTCGCTGCCCGCTTCGCGGCCCGCCCGCTTCGCAGCCCGCTCGCCCCGCTGCCCGCTTCGCGGCCCGCCCACTTCGCAGCCCGCTCGCCCCGCTGCCCGCTTCGCAGCCCGCCCGCCCGCCCGCTGCCCGCTTCGCGGCCCGCCCGCCTCGCAGCGTCGCCCGCCCGCCGTGCTGCCCGCTTGCAGCGCCGCCTGCCCGCCGCGCTGCCCGCTTCCCGGCCCGTCCGCCGCGCTGCCCGCTCGCAGCGTCGCCCTCCCGTCGCACTGACCGCTTGCAGCGCCGCCTGCCCGTAGCGCCAGCCTCGCCCGCTGCTCTCTATCCGTGCACAGTCGCCTTCCCCTGCTGCGGCAGCTTGCGTTACTCTGTCACACTGTCGCTATGGCTTCCATTCGCGTGCTGTCGTTCGATGCTGAGGGCCGCCCTGTGCGTTTCACCGCTTGGCTAGATGACCTGCAGCTGTTCCTCCTGAGCGATAGCAAGGAGCATGTGTCGCTCTATGACTACGCGTCTGGTGCTGCGCCTGCCCCTCCTGCCACAGCTGAGCTTAGTGTTCGTTCCCACTGGCAGACTCGTGACGCAGCTGCTCGCCTAGCCATTCGCAGTCACCTGCCGTTAGCTGAGCTAGAGCATTTTGGCGACTGCAAATCCGCTAAGGCCCTGTACGACGCTGTCGTCGCTCGCTACTCCTCGCCTGCCACAGCCGAGCTTAGCCGCCTCATGCTGCCGTACCTGTTCCCCGATCTGTCCACCTTTACTACAGTCGCCGATCTTATCACCCACCTGCGCACTAGTGATGCTCGCCTGCGTGCCGCCCTTCCCACCGAGTTCTGCGCTAAGAACCCCCCTCCACTGTACTGGACACTCCACTTTATAGTCACTCGTCTCCCTGACACCCTCCGCTCAGTTCGAGACCACTTCCTTGCTCGCTGTCCCACTGAGCTCACAGTCGCCCTCCTAGAGGAGCACCTGCTCGCGGCCGAAAAGAGCATTGTAGCTGTCGGTGCTGCTCGTGGCGCTCCTCGCACCCCCATCTTTGAGGGGTGTTCTCCCTCTCCCCTCGCTCCCTCCTACGCTGCTGCTGCTGCTGTTGACTTCCTTGGTGCTGAGTCTGTTGGCGCTGCTTCTGCTCCTGGTGGGAGGCGCCGCACCGGCAAGGGCAAGGGGGGCAAGGGTGGTGGTGGTGGCGCTGGGGGAGGAGGTGGGGGAGGTGGGGGGGGAGGCGGTGCTGGAGGGAGCGGTGGCGGGAGCGCTGGTGGGAGTGGGGTCGGGGGTGGAGACGGGGGCGGCGGAGGAAGCAGTGGCAGTAGTGGCGGCGGCGGCAGTGGCGGCGGTGGCGGTGGTGGCGGTGGTGGCGGTACCGGTCGGAGCGGTGGTAGTGGTGGCGGCGGAGGTCGGAGTGGAGGCACTGGCTCGGGCCAGAGCTCCCAGCAGCAGCAGCGTCCCCAGACGACCCAGCAGCTTCGTGAGTGGCTTGCTCAGCGTGGGACGTCGGGGGCCAGTGCCCGCTGTTCTTATGTCATTCGCACAGGTGACCGCAAGGGACAGACGTGTGGGAGGTTCCACACCCCGTACCGCTGCTTCTCCCGCCTTGACGACGCTTGGCGTGAGGAGATGGGTGCGGATGTTGAGCGCCCCCGCTGGGCTGAGCTCATGAGGGCTGGTGTTGATGTCTTTGCTCTTGACTATGATGCTATTATTGCTGCCATGTATGCATTGACTGTTAGTGCCGAGGGAGACTGTTACTTGTGTGTGCCGCCTGACCCAGGTATAGAGCCCGCTGCCCTGGGTACTAGTGAGTCTGCTCTCTCTGGTATGGTGCCCCCTGTACTTGCCCCCCCCAGTGCTGTCCCGGCTGGTTTCGAGTCTGCTCTCTCAGGTACAGCACCCACACAGACTGCTCCCTCAGGTACCGCACCGGCTGAGGCCTGTCACACCTTCACCCTTGACTCAGGTGCTTCCCGTTGCTTCTTTCGTGACAGTACTGAGCTCACACCGCTTCCTGCACCGGTCCCAGTCTCCTTGGCTGACCCCTCTGGGGGCCCAGTCCTTGCCCAGTCCACTACTGTCCTCCCTTGTCCGGCGGTTCCGTCTGGCTCGTTGTCGGGTTTCCACCTCCCCTCGTTCTCGACGAACCTGGTGAGCAACGCTGTCCTCCAGGATCAGTGGGTTGACACCTTTACCCCTGGCGGACAGCGTGTGGCGATCTGCACGTGCTCCAGGACTGGCCGTCACCTGGCTACGTTCACCCGTCGGCCGGGGTCGAGTCTCTACACACTGACCACTGCGTCTCCCCAGGTAGCTGCTGTCGGTCAGGTGTCTGCGTCAGGTCTGGTGGCCCACGCCTGTGAGTGTCGTTCCCTGTCGCACCAGACTCTTCTCTGGCACCACCGCCTGGGTCACCCCTCCTTGCCACGCCTTCGTGGCATGCACCGTCGCCTCCTTGTGTCTGGTCTTCCCAGGTCCCTCCCTCCCCTCCCTGCCTCGCCTGCGCCGCCTTGCCTTCCTTGCGTCGAGGGGCGGCAGCGCGCCGCTCCTCACTCCTCCTCGTTCCCCCCGACAGAGGCTCCTCTGGAGACCCTCCACCTGGACGTGTGGGGCCCAGCCCGCGTTCGTGGTCAGGGCGGTGAGCGGTACTTTCTGCTGGTTGTCGACGACTACTCGCGTTACACCACGGTCTTCCCCTTGCGCACCAAGGGTGAGGTCCCTGCTGTTCTGATCCCTTGGATCCGCACGGTTCGTCTCCAGCTCCGCCGCCGTTTCCGGACGGATCTTCCTGTCCTGCGTCTGCACTCTGACAGAGGTGGTGAGTTTTCCTCCGATCTCCTGAGGACCTTCTGTCAGGCAGAGGGCATCGAGCAGACCTTCACGCTTCCGGACTCCCCACAGCAGAATGGGGTTGCTGAGCGCCGCATTGGCCTGGTCATGGAGATCGCTCGTACCTCCTTGGTCCACGCGGCGGCTCCCCATTTTCTGTGGCCGTTTGCTGTCCGGTACGCCGCGCATCAGCTCAACCTCTGGCCCCGTGTCTCCTTGCCGGAGACCTCGCCCACACTGCGTTGGACGGGGGAGGTTGGCGATGCGTCGCGCTTCCGGGTGTGGGGTGCTCGTGCCCTTGTCCGCGATACGTCCGCGGACAAGCTCTCCTCCCGCACGCTTCCCTGTGTCTTCCTTGGCTTTGTCCCTGACGCGCCTGGCTGGCAGTTTTACCACCCCACCTCGCGCCGGGTCTTCGCCTCTCAGGATGTCACCTTTGACGAGTCGGTCCCTTTTTACCGTCTCTTCCCCTACCGCACTGCCCCCCTCCCTCCCCCGCCGCTTTTCCTTGCTCCTGGTCCCCCTCCGGTAGACCCCCTTCCCCCTCAGGGTCCTGCTCCTTCAGGTGTCTCTCAGGTAGACCCTCCTCCCGTCGCTGAGCCTGTCGAGGTCACAGGTGACTCAGGTGCTGCTGCGGGTGGTGCTGCTGGGAGTACTGAGCCTGGGGGTGCTGGGCCTGGGGGTGCTGGGGCTGCAGGTGCTGGGACTGAGGGTGCTGGAGCTGAGGGTACGGTGCCTGAGAGTACGGAGCCTGGGGGTGCTGCGCCTGGGGGTGCTGAGCCTACGGGTGCGGGGCCTGGGAGTGCTGGGACTACGGGTGCTGGAGCTGAGGGTACTGTGCCTGAGAGTTTGCCGCCTGGGGGTGCTGAGCCTGGGGGTGCTGCGACTGGGGGTGCTGAGCCTGCGGGTACTGAGCCTGCGGGTACTGAGCCTGGGGGTGCTGCTACTGAGCCTACGGAGCCTCGGGTTACTGCGTCTGGGGGTGCTCCGGTTCGGGGTGCTGAGCAGTCTCTCACACCGCAGCAGCTTCGCGACTGGTACGTCCGACGCTTTCGCCGTCCTAGTGGCTCGACTGGAGTTTGGGGTGCTGGAGCTGCTCGTCCTGGGGGTGCTCGTACTGGGGGTACTGGAGCTGCTGGAGCTGGGGACTCTGGCGCTGGCGGTGCTAGCGGAGTTGGAGCTGCCGACTCTGGGGGTGGCGCGGCTGCTGGTGCTGAGGAGTCGGACGGTGGAGCTGCTGCTGGAGCT